ATAGATTTCAGATGGTAACAATATTCAATTCAATTAAAATCAAAGATACATTTTATTGACCATTTATTAAAGTATAGTATATGAAAACGCAACAAAAAGAATAGCATGAAGCACATACTAAATTCCATTGTTTCAATTATAAGATCATGTTGCAATCATGAATATATCACCGTAAATGGAAGAAAGAGAATATATCAGAAAGATATTTTGTTAGTGGAAAGATAGCAAAACAATAATAATTAGGCCTATGATAAACCGATTCACGAACTAAAATATATAGGGCCTAGGCATATTAAATTTTTCGTTTTCGCAACTCCTTCGGCGCTCCATATATTTGTTCGAAATAAACCGCGACCGAAACGAAGCGCGACCGAAATGATCGGCTACCTCGTAGAACGCCTCCAGCCTGTCTGTCTTTACTTCGTTAATTCTTTTGTTGGGTGTAGTATTACCAGGTGGATGAAGTCCTAGGCCTAGGTGGACAATCATATTTCTTATTACATAGCTAACATAAGCCTCAACTATATTTTTATTTACACAATGACCTGATCGGCCTTGGGTGGGCCCGATCAGTGCACAGCAGTCGAGCAACAGTCTTCTGCTGCTGCACCGATTGGCCCTAGCTGGATGATCGGACCCATGTTTAGGGCTTCCGAGCCCAATATGAAGGTAGGCCTGATTGCGGCCATTCGTCCTGGAAATGGGTCTGCTCGCTTTGAGCCAGATCGTATGGTGTCCAAATCAAATATTGTGCCCGATCGTCTTCTTTTCCGATTGTTCTTGAAGTAATATAATACTTAAAAACATGCACTAATTTTATTATCGGATCAGTCATATAAATAAAAATGGTGGAAACTGCCAATGCCAATGGTGCAAACTAGGCCTATTTGTGTTGGGCCTAGGCCCTAGTCAAGAATGAGTTTAGGCCTAATACTGTAATCCCTAAGGCTAAGTTTTTAACCTGGGTGGCATACAGTAGTATTTGTAAACAAGCCTGAAGGCAGGATTTTCGATGGGGGTGGAAGAAGTGAGGGGTGCAATGTGAGCTTTTTTTAATATATGCTGCAGGGGCCGGGTCTTTGTTAATAGGGTCTTTGGTGTGGTAGAGGCCTGGGCAGAGCAATGGTGCCCCCTATGACGAATTCCCCCTATGACAATGTGTCATTTTGAGGCCCTTATTTAATGGATTTTTGAAACCCATATGTTTGTAAAAATTCTATTAAAATTTCCATCGATTTGGCTGTTAAACCTGGAGAAGTGAAGTTTTATGTCTATTTATTACATCTATAGACCATTTTTGCGAAATTTGAAATGAAAGTTTCCGATAACCTGGGTACTACCACTGGGGAGCTTTTCAGACTAGCTTATGCACTTTGCACTACGTAGTTACCAGTGTATGCGTGGCGCTGTATTTGACACACTATCTAGGTGCTCAAGCTAGGCTAGGCCGCTGGAAGTCCCCCAATGAGTTGCGAGACGTTGGCGCCGCTGTTTTAAAATTAACCCGATATAATGGTCTATATATAGGCCTCATAACCCCCAAGATAAAAAGGTTTTTTGGTTCATATGGATCAATCTGTAATCACACTAGAGCTGATTAATTTTTAACAAATTCCATACCACAGTATTAAAATCATCGCTTAGAAGAACTGGCAAATACCGTAATATGTACTGTAATGCATAACTTTTTTCGAAATGAACAATGTTTAGTGTTCTAGGTTTATAAAAGTGGACCTTTTGAAATTGAGGATTGGAGTGTGTTTCTGCCCCCTGCACACATCCCACTGCCTGTGGGCCTGGTTAATATAATATTACTGTTCTCCCACAGGGCAGGCAACAGTAACACTAAATCTAAGAATAATGGTGAATAAGAAACATCTCTCTAATGAAAGGCATCTTGATAGAGTTAAGGGTCATTCAAGACGAGATGACCATACCAGACATTCTTGCTCTGATGAAAGACGTGACAAGTATGATCACAAGCATGGAGAACGACAAGATGACTACTATTACTATTCTAGAGACTCGGACGAAAAAATAAAAAAAAGGTACTCTGACAGCGGAGAAGCAAGGAACTCAAGATCATCAAGAAAAGAAAAAACTTACTCATCAAAGGAAAAAGAAACCAAAAGAAGAGAAAGCAGAAAAGAGAAAAAAGAAGATGGAGATTGGAATAATTATGGGTATTCCATAGAGGATATAAAAGAATTTCTTCCCCCAAAGGATGACAAGGAACATAAATCAGATGAAGTGAATGTGCAATCTTCATCAGCAGGGCGAAGGTCGCAAGATGACTATAAAGTAAACAGTCGAGATGAGAAACCAAATGTAAAACATTCCAAGCAACATGATAATGATGGTTTGTTTCCATGGGAACGGTATAGAAATGAATTGGATAGAATATTTTTTAGAAATGAGGACTTTAGTATCAGAAGGTAAGCACATACAGTAATACACCTACTGTATAGTTAATACAATGCATCCTCCAATTCGAGACCCCTCTAATTCGAGACCACTTTTCCAAAGACCCAAATAACAATCTTCAACCTTTTAACACAAAGCTAGCCCTCAAATTGGAGACCACCCCACATTTTCAGGTCCCAAAGGTGGTCTCGCATTGGAGGGCGAACTGTATAACAATGTACTGCTCGTTTGTTCTTGTATCATGTTTTTTCTAACAATTTATACGTTTTCATTTTTTCTTAAAATATCATATGGCGTTAATAGAAGGAGTCAGGAACATGACGATTTTTGGAATTTCTTTTTACGCTATCAGCAATTCCAAAGTAGAAGGCAGATTTCATCAAAAGCAAGTAAGAAGAAAGTATTTATACCACTCAATTTTATGCATCAATTTTCATAATAGTTTCCAAATGTGATTGGTATTAACAGGGGTCCCAAGTCGCGGGAGTCCCCTGGAAATAGAGACGCACTCCCGCAAGCAAGAAAGAATCATCCGCAAATTCATAATAGTTGCATATTTTTAGTTTTGTGTATGATAAATTGTCTCACAGAATTCAGTGCTGATGTATATCATCATCCACAGCAAAATAAAATTAAGTGTATTTAAAAAAGCTCATTTAAACATATCTCACAGAAGTGACTTTTTCAAACTTGGGACCCCTGTGTGTATAGGAATTACCCTTTTTTTTTTAGGGGTGGGGTGGTAAGCTTAATCTATATATGCGGCAGAGCCAAGCCAAAGGAGGGATAAGTCGAAATTTTCAAAATTGAGTTTTGTACATATTATGAAACTATACATTATTATCTTCAAAATGCAAAAGAAATCACTTTGATATGATAGTTTATGGCAAAGTTATGGGCAATCAAATTTAGGATACTTGGTAAGTGTATATTGAGAAAACTGGCTTTGAAAATAAGATTTTATGTCTGTACGCTAGGACAAGCACTCTTAAATACCATTTTTAGAACATTTATCGATTATAAATCAGAGAAAAGTAAATGTAGGATGAAAGTTAAATGATTAATATGTATGTTTTCGAGAAAAAAAAAAATTCTAAAAAAATGACCAATTTCACGTTTGTGCATTTATTGGAAAACTGCCTGTGCGACTTATCCCTCCTTTGGCTTGGCTCTGCCACATATGTGCTATGGAGTGCAACAATGTATGTAACCATAGTTACCATTAAATACAATTTTGTGCTCAGAAGCTAGAGGTCGGGGTGGCACCAGCTGGGGGGGCCAGGGCCCCAGTCGGGGAGAAAAAGCACAATTCGTCGGGAGAAAAAAAAAATTATATGTATTTTCTACATATTACGGTATTAGACTCTAAAATAAAATCAATTAAATAAGCCTTTGAAAGCCCTAAATTTTCAAAATTTTCAGATTCACCCCCTGGACCACTTTTAAAGCCTTTTAATAGAAGCTCGACCATGCCCACTTTGCTTTCGTTGGGGAAATCTGACCCCTCGTGGAGGCATCGGCCCCTCCATTGGGCACCTCGAGCCCCCGTCAGGCAAATCCTGGCGCCACCCCTACTAGAGGTTAAATTTTAGTCGTGAACCAATTTTTGTATTTTTATCAAGCAAGGGAAGCTATCTAATAATGCATAGTATGAGAGGGCCATTAATAAAAATGAAGACTAAGTGCTTACATGCAGTAAATAGACCTTTTTAGAGTGTCAATCAAACTTAGAGTAACAACTGACCAATCAAAAGAGGGCCAGGAATATGTGTGTTCCCTAAAAACATGTGATGTCCCACAAACGCACATGTTTGTGTATGTTTTTACACTGTCAGTTCATACGACCTTAGCAACAATATCCAAGGGGTGGTGCTTAGCAGAAATGTCCAATATATTATTATTATTGACAAAATATAATAAATCACATCAAGTCACCATTCTCTTTACAGAGGTAAGATGTGATGATGATAAAAGAAGAAAGGACAATGATAAGGAAATTCCTGCCAAACGTCACAATGATTCAATCAAAGACCAAAATATAGATGATCAATTAGAATATTACAAATCACTTTATAAAGGTCAGTTATATATTGAATATATTTTTTTTATAAATATTTTTTGTTCCTAATTATTTTAATCAAAAAGATTGTAAAGCCTCACAATGTTTTGATTGTGGATCAACGGCCAGACAGTACAGTACTTCAATCAATTATTTTTATGTAATGTTCTATACATTAAATCATCCAAAATATGATCACTTCTTATTGCAAAGTAATTAAATGGTTACATTTTGAGGGTTTCTTCTTTTGCTATGCTTTTCAGATGGTGAAACTGATATAAAACCAAAGCATTTAAAGGAATTCAAGTTTGTTATCATGATGTACTTAGATTTTTGTCAAAAGCAGAAGGTGTGTTAATAATATTTCAACATTTCATTTGTTTTAACTCAATTACAGTATCTAATCAGATCTCAGATAAGATAGTATAATACATACTCCAAGTATTGAAATGCACGCCATCGTGTCGGGATTCAATATTTCAACATTAATTATGTCATCATCAGGAATCAGATCTCTGTTATTTATTTGTTTATTTATTTTGAGGCAACGATAAATAAATAGTCAAATCATAAATTATGTAATTATACAATTCAGCAGGGCTGAAGTATTGTCTAATTGCAAATTAGTATATTTTCCAAATTATGTATTTGTTGTAGGTTGATAGGCTATCAAAACTACGTGAAGACCAGAGAAATCTACCAATCTATCAATTCAAGAGCAAAATCATTGAAGCGTTACAAGAACATCAGGTAATCATCGTTGCAGGTGACACAGGATGCGGGAAATCTACTCAGGTAAGAGCATTTAAAACTCTGTCCATACTATCAAATTTTATGTGACAAATATATGTGATGTGCCCATATTTTTATGTAACATGACATCATGACGATATAAGTGCACATCACACACATTTTGTCACATAAAATTTGTTAGTGTGGACGAAGCTTAAAGCCTGTTTTCCACTAGGCGAATTTATTCGTGTGAATCAAAGGTGTCATTTAGGTTCCTTGCTCTGATTGGTTGCGCACCTTCTTTTTGTTTTGCAAAAAGTAGAACAGTTTGAACTACGGATTTTGCTGAAGTGAATACTCCGATAGAAATGTGAATGCACATGCCCATGAACCGACGCTTTTGACTCTTGCAGAATTATTCACTTCATTTATAAGTGGAAAACAAGCTTAAGGCTGCAGTGAGATGAACTCAGTTGCTGTAGTTGGAGTGCTATCTTTAGTCTTAACTAGTGTGGTGAACGTCTGTAGTTGCCAAACATGTAGTTAGTGAAAACCCAACAGAATTTGGGCACCTTCTAGTCGTAACAAACTTAGCTTATAAGCACTGTATCCAATCCTCGTCACATTTTCCAACGGAGAACTACTTCGCTTATTGCCTATGTAAATATAATTGTTATACATACTCTTATTCAGGAATACACTACATTACTGTGAAATTCTCGAATTGAAGCCCAGGGTTTTTTTTTGTTTTTTTTTAAGCGAACTTTGGATGGGCTTCTTTTTGAGGCCACTTTTGCAAAGTGGGGGGGTGAGGGTGCTTTTTTCCAAAAGCTTTTAATTTTGGGAATTACTACTATAAAACTACAAAGAGGGCCACTGTAACATCAATCTGTATCATTGAGTGTATTAACCAGCATTAAATCACCTAAACTACTGTATAAACCATGCATGTTTTTAATTTATTTTGTTACTTCTAAATTCATGTACAGTGTATGTACTGTACTGTCTCGAAAAGAAGCCTATGCTATCTCAAAATGAACTCCATAGGCTTCTTTTCGAGGCTAATTTTGCAAAATGAAGAGGTGGGCTTCAATTCAAGATCGGCTGCTGCTCGAGTTTAAGCCCATGGGGCTTCAATTCAAGGTTTACCGTATCTTGCTATGGTTTTTACATCGTATTTAATTTCTCAGGTGCCACAGTACTTAATGGAGGCTGGATACAGTTACATTGCATGTACTCAGCCCCGTAGGATTGCTTGCATCTCATTGGCAAAAAGGGTTAGTTATGAGACGCAAAATGAATATGGTGATGAGGTTGGCTATCAGATACGGTTTGAGTCAAGCAGAAGCAAAGCCACTAGGATCGTGTTTTTGACAGAAGGTGAGGAAAACATGGTGTACACTCCATACATCCAAGAAAGAGAGGTCTCACAGGCATAAAATATGATTGATGTCTATGCTGACTGTTAACCATTATGCTGTTTACAGTTTTGTAGTCAGAGTATAGCCATAGCCAGGATTGCCATTGTGGTGGGTGTGCAAAAAATACATGTTATTTATCTCCTAAATACAGACCTGAACATGTTGGTTTAAATTGCCAATTTTATTGCTAAAATATACCTTCAAATGGTAGCCCAACCACCTCCCCCCCCCCCTACAATCCATGTTTTGTTACTATCATCATGAACCTATGTGAATAACTACTAACTGTACCATTTCTATACAGGTTTGTTACTAAGACAAGTAGCATCAGAGTCATTACTAAGCCAGTACAATGTGATTGTGATTGATGAGGTTCATGAACGCCACATCCACACTGACTTCCTCTTGGGTGTACTAAAAGCCATTGTGCAGCAGAGAGAAGATCTCAAGGTGGTCCTTATGTCTGCTACCATCAACATCAATCTATTTTCAAATTATTTTCATAATGCACCAGTTTTACAGGTATGTATATTGTATGTTGGCATAGATGCCAAACACCTCTATGGCACCTGTGAATATTGTCCAGACGGGTTTCGCGCCTTAAATTGCTGGGGGTGTTTGAATCCTCTTCATTGTATTTTTTTTTTCTTTTTGTGTTTGTGGTTGGTTTAGTGCATTACTTTTTTCAGAGTTTGATATTTTTTTTCAACAGCATAACACTTAAAGTGCTCTGATCTTAACGAAATAACGCTATATGAATGTCGCATTATTATTATATTTTTTTAATTATTTTGTGGAGGTCCACATCTTGTGTTTGGATACATTGAAATAAAATAAATATAATGAAGATGAGTCTACACTACATAGTGTTGATTGTGTTTATCATTGCAATTCAGAAACTTAAGCTTGGCATCAAGGGTTTGGGTTTCACACTGTCTATTACAAAGGACACAATCCCCTACTCTTTTCCGAAGAGTGTACTGCATCTTTAACATGCACATGGGCCATAAATGCACACGGGACCAATAGCTTAAACGTCTCGTTCGAAAGACGGTGCGCTATTTTAACTTGTTTTTAACTTACAAGGAGAGGCAGTGATGGGAATTGAACCGGGGACCTAGAGATCCAAGTGAGCCAAGGACACTGACATTGGCATTAAACCATCCACCAAGCATAGATGTAGGCTTCACCTAACTCTTTAGTAGCTACACTTTCTAGGATATAAGTAAATAGGTACTTAGCAGGAGGCTAAATTTCTACTGAATTGAATGTACTGTATTAAGTTTGTGTTTAATGTTTAATGAATGTTTTTTTTTTTTTCCAGGTACCAGGAAGGCTTTACCCAATTACTTTAGAGTATGTTCCAATACGGGATGAGGTTGGTAAACAGCATTTGTCTTACACCTTGTCTTTACAAGTAAAGATTATTTCTAGAGCTAATTTTATGCGTTTACTGATGGATCAATTGTTCATGTAAGCAAAAAGAACTCAGTAGAACTCCCAGTATACTAAATATTACCATATTACTTTTGTTGTCTTTTAGAGGTTTTTTTTATGATTGGTTGTTTCATTTTCATAGTGATAATCCTTTTCCCTATCTCTACGAGTAATTAAGCAATTTTAAGCATTTACTGATGGATCAGTTGTTTAAATTGTTTACAAATATTGCTGATGTTGGACAAGAAGGTTTTATATATCTTATTTATCGTTACTATAACTCTTATTATATTGACCTGTCTGTAGAAGCTATTTTCAGTTTGGCATTCAAATAATGTCAGCATGTGGGTTTAATCCTTTGACATGTGATTATTTTCTTGTTGCAGGAGACAACAAGTCGTCTTGAAAGACTCAATCCACGACCCTATCTCAGGATAATGCAGCGAATTGAGCACAAGTACCCCACCACCGAGCGAGGTGACCTACTCATATTCCTCAGTGGCATGTCTGAGATATCGAGCGTGGTGGAAGCAGCAAGAATGTATGCCAGTCAAACAAAGAGGTGGATAGTCCTTCCACTCCACAGCACGTTGTCAATAAGTGAACAGGATAAGGTAAATATTAAACGAAGCCCAGTGAAGTGCAGTTCTTGTGAGGGTTAGATTGGTCAATCATCACTCACCTTAGGCGCGATCGCCAAATTATCCCAGACAGTAAAAACGTATCTAGGTCAACACCCTATCACGAACGCGTCTAAGAAATCAACCATTCTAATTACCACGCTATATGAATATTCATTTGCTACACGCTTGAATTACAGCTCACGTCTGGACGACGGTGAATCGTTTGGACGCTTGTTGATAGTTTGAACGATTTTCTATCGTTTACTACTATACTAACAGCGCGGTCAACTGGCCCACTTGAGTGCGTAGAAATACTGGCCTTTCAAATAAATATTATTATGCAGCTCCTATTCTTTCTTATACGTACATGTGGCTATACTTACTCTATGCTTATATGAAGATTTGTAAATTACATGATGACAACATGCCTGGAGGTCCAGGGCACGGTATGCGCTAAGCGAGTTCGATTGGATTTCGCTTTGTACGCTGCTCTGTAGATAGAACTACATTAGCATTACAAATCACAAACATACTTCAAATATACTTTAAGTGCAATGGTATAGTCGCCGTTACATTCTGGCCTAAGTATAAAATCAAATCTAGGCCTAGGTACTGTAGGTAGTCTGCCTATCTTTTTATCCTCGTGCACGGCTGGTTACTCACAATTTTCTGAGGCTACTCTTTACTGTGTATACTACAGTATTCAGCAGTGCATTTTCTTCTAAGTTCTAATGTAGGTCCTCCGAATTGAGAGATCTATATTTAGTTGACTATCTACAATAACCAGGACAATAACTTGTCATAATCAGTGTTCTCCCAAGGCAATAAGCTGTAACGACCCCGTTACAGCTTCATTCAGAAAACAAGTTTACTCTCAGGATAATGCAGCGAATTGAGCACAAGTACCCCATCACTGAGCGAGGTGACCTACTCATATTCCTCAGTGGCATGTCTGAGATATCGAGCGTGGTGGAAGCAGCAAGGATGTATGGCAGTCAAACAAAGAGGTGGATAGTCCTTCCACTCCACAGCACGCTGTCAATAAGTGAACAGGATAAGGTAAATATTAAACGAAGCCCAGTGAAGTGTAGTTCTTGTGAGAGTTAGATTGGTCAATCATCACTCACATTAGGCGCGATCGCCAAATTATCCCAGACGGTAAAGACGCGTCTAGGTCAACACCCGATCACGAACACGTCTAAGAAATCAACCATTCTAATTACCACGCTATATGAATATTCATTTGCTACACGCTTGAATTATGGCTCACGTCTGGACGACGGTGAATCGTTTGGACGCTTGTTAATCGTTTGAACGATTTTCTATCGTTTACTACTATACTAACAGCGCGGTCAACTGGCCCACTTGAGTGCATAGAAATACTGGCCTTTCAAATAAATATTATTATGCAGCTCCTATTCTTTCTTATACGTACATGTGGCTATACTTACTCTATGCTTATATGAAGATTTGTAAATTACATGATGACAACGTGCCTGGATGTCCAGGGCGCGGTATGCGCTAAGCGAGTTAATACAAAATACGAAATACGAAGAACTTTATTGCAATCTCTCATTCAAAATTGAAGTTTAACAAAAGGGGAGAAAAAACATTACAAAACAACATCACAAACCCACTAAACACATAAATAATTTACAATAAGGCATTACAATTAATTAAGCAACATTAAGTAAAAAATTCAAGTACAAAAATAAATAAGTTCCATTTGAATTCGCTTTGTACGCCGCTCTGTAGATAGAACATCAAGACTCTAAAAATAGTACTGGGATTTTCTTTGCAAATGTGAAGGAGGGTACATTGTCATTACAAATTACAAACATACTTCAAATATACTTTAAGTGCCATGGTAATTCGGCATTACATTCTGTCCTAAATATAAAGTAAAATCTAGACCTAGGTAGGTAGTCTGCCTATCTTTTTTTATCCTTGCGCACGGCTGGTTACTCACATTTTTCCGAGGCTACACTCTCTACTGTGTATACAATGCAGCAGTGCATTTTCTCTACTGTAGGTCCTCTGAATCGAGAGATGTATATTTGGTTGAATAGTAAAATTTAGATAAAGACAATAACTTGTCATATTTACAACAGATCATGAGCTTTAGTTTTGATGTATTATTTAACTGATCGAACTACAGAGTCCTCTTTAAAATAAAACTGCAGCGATATCGAGGTTGAGCCTTAGGTGCAGAGAGCAGGGCCCAGAACCACGTGTGTAAACAGTAGAGTACTGGGCAATTTAGAACTGTCCATTTTCAAACGGGGTATAACATTTTTTTTTTACAATTACTTATTTTTAGTTGTTTTTCTTTCTCTCTTTTATACATTGAACGCACCAAATTTATGTGTGCTGCTGAAACAAAAGTGTATGTTCAGTTGAATAAATAAATAAATTACAGTAATATTGCGAGTTCTCATTAAAACATTTACTGGGTAGGCAATGGTTTAGCCTTACATGTTTTTTATGGAATACACAAGTAGAAATTCATGGTGAAATTCGGCATAAAAAAAAAAAAACGTGTTTCGCATGAAATTAACGTTTACGTATGATAATTTAGCTTAGTATAATGCAAAATTTCATCTATTTGATCATGGACAATGTTTTCAGAGGCATGGGTCTTAGCATGTGATCCCTTTCAACGGCAAGGAGAGCAATTAATTGCTGTGCTGCTGGATGTTACCACAGCTGCACAGGATGGTGGCCTGCGACTCCCGCTGCAACTACATCGGAAATAACTAAAAAATCGGATTTTTTAACGTTATGTTTGTTCATCGATTCATAAAATCACTGAATATTAAGATAGTCTCACCTATGCACGGTACTAAGCCTACTGAACGATGTCCCAGTACCCAACCGACTATTTTTTTAGCATCGACTAGGGACTTCCCTGAGTTTACGTACTTCTGTCAGTTCTTGCACACACAGGCGGCATACAAAAAGATGTTCGCTAGTGTTCGCTAGTGTTCGCTAGAGTCGTCTGGACACGTTTTACGGTGCATCCAATCAGCCATTGTTAAAGGGGAGGAGCAAAGTCCAAAACGGAATATCAGCCTCAAAACGATGTGCTATTCAAACGATGTTTTCTGTCGCGTTTGGGAGAACAATAGAAAACGCGTATTAATTGAAGCTTGTCCTTTTACATTTCATACAAGCATTTTTGGCTTCTTTGTAAACAATTATGTTTGCCAAAAACAAGCAGAAGCTGGGTTTTAAAGATTTTTTCGATCAGTTGAGCTTGGGCAACACAATTTTTTTTTGGCATTATAATTTTGAATATGTTATTGACTATTGTTGAATTGTATTGTTCAGGTGTTTGATGTTGCCCCAGATGGGATTAGGAAGTGCATCGTTTCAACAAACATTGCAGAAACTTCTGTCACAATCGATGGTGTCCGTTTTATTGCTGATTCTGGAAAGGTAATTTGCAGAGTGCAGTTATATTTTATTAGCTTGTAAATATTTGGGTGGCTTAATCATGATAGGAGGTAGAGTTGTACTACTTTTTAAAATTCACAGGTACCCCACCCCTCTTAAGTATCTCTTTTTGTGTCTACGGCCCCCATGTCATGATGTAGCAATTAAAGATGGCGGAAAAGGGTAAATCCGGTGGAGGAATGATGGGTACTACTACCACTAGGTAGGGGGCGCTCTATTGAAAATCGAATAGCCTTCAGAACTCCAACAAAATTGGTTTCGAAACTTGAACATGCGTTATAAAGACGCAGTACGTATTCGCCATGAATGCCTTTTACCATCATTTGAAGGACGCCCTCTAGAACATGGTAGTACTTTTCGAGATCAACAACATAACGCAGCAACTCCAAGAGTTACTCTTTTTTTAAAGTATTTTTAGTGTAATATAATAGTAGTAGGCCTATACAGAATATTGTTATAAAAGAAAATTTTCATGAAAAATCCAGATGTACTACAATAATACACACTTCTGCATATTGAAGAACTTAAGATTAAATTCAAAAACAAAAACTCCTGTATAAGGCAGTAGAAACACGCTCCCGCTGGGAGCCTATTTTAAAAAAATATTTTCAATGTTTATGATTTTGTAATTTTAGAATGTCACTCTTTGTCCCATTATGTAATAACGCTTTTCATTTGCTTTTTTGATTCATTGTCATCTGTGTATGACAATTATGATATATTTTTTAACTGATTGATCTATTATTGTGGAGGTCCCAAGTTCAAAGAAGTTGCTTTCGTGAGATCTGGTTGAATGAGCTTCCATAACATTTTATTTTATTTTGTTGCACATGGTGAAGCCTGTTGACGCTGACTTCCATGAGACAATTGATAATAAATTGGTGAAAGCATGCAAATATTATGAATTTGCAGCAGATATCTTGTTTTCTGGTAGATCCATGCTTGCTTGTGGGAGTGTAGGAGGTCCTGTTATTGATTGATTTGATTTATGTTCATTATAGTATGTTTTTTCTGATAATGTCAAAGGTTAAAGAAATGAGTTACGATTCAAAGGAAAAAATGCGCAAACTGCAGGAATTCTGGATAAGTAGAGCAAGCGCTGAACAACGCAAAGGAAGAGCAGGTAAACATTGAAATATATACAGTTTAACTTGCTTAAAGTCGAATTCAAAATGGTATTGAAAAATTGTTTGACTTACATTAAATTTGACTTAGAGATCGTTAATTAATGGAAAACACAACAATTTGGCATGTAAAATAATTATTCGAGTTTGGCAATGTAGACTTAAACAAGTTTAACTGTATTTGTATTTTTCAGGATGAGCATCTTTTTTTTTTATATGTTCTCCAAATTATTAGACTATTGATAAAAAAAATTGTCAGTTCGGGAAGGTGGTTGCCTTCCAACCTGAAGCCATAGGTTTAATCCATGCAGGGGTCTCAAGTTGGACGAAGCCACTTAGTACATCTAGTTTGTTTTTTGCTGTGCATGGTGATACCCATCGGCACTGACATCTGGGAGATAATTGATAATACAGTAGTAAAAATATGCAAATATTGTCAATTTTTCGGGAGATTCTTGCTTATTTGCTGGACTGAGGGAGGCCTTCCTGATTTCCTGCAACACGCGGGAGACTTGGGACCCTGATCCATGCTAATTCCATGATTTATTGATGAATACAATGAAGTTTATTTTCTATATGGAGATACATATATAGTAGATTATTTCGTAACTGGCAAGTAACTGTTTTCAATACAGGTAGAACAGGGCCTGGTGTTTGTTTTAGGCTTTACGATGAATCTGATTATGATGAATTTCAAGAATACACAACCCCAGAGATCCACCGTGTTCCCCTGGACTCAACTCTACTGCAAATGATAGCAATGGGCCTACCAAATGCGAGGGAGTAAGAAACTGTTGTTTTTTTTCATTTGCAGTACCAGATTGTAAGAATTAGATGATGCTAAAGGCAGGGGAGATGATGAAACAAACACATTTCATATATACATTGTGATATGGCAATAAATAAGTGAATTTTGATAATGATTGTATTAAATGATGATGATTAGGTTTTATTATAATTTTGAAGGATGTGGACACTTTATCTGCATTGCTTCTCTCCACCCAGGAGTATAAATGGGTACCTGGTGGGGTTGTCTGCTCCTGCGCTGATTGCAACACTTAAAGCATATGGACCCAATGACCAGGGAAAAGAAGTGCGCTTTATAACCTCAAGGAAGAGGCGCATTATAAATGCCTATACCAGTTACCAGTACCAGCTGGCAACTATAATTATAAATTGTTATACATTATTAATAAAGAATTATCTTATTTCTTAAAGGTTTCCATTCATTGAACCACCTCCTCCATCAAACATTGAGAATTCCTTGGCATTTTTGAAAGAGCAAAATGCTTTGACAGATGATGAGCAATTAACGCCTGTTGGGGCCATGCTTGCCAGACTTCCCGTAGATGTGGTGATTGGAAAGATGTTGATAATAGGCACTGTATTCAAAGTAGGTTGTTGCATCATTACAAAACATTCAGAATCTTCTAGAGGGAGCTGTTGTGATCATAGGAAATAAATTCATTCTGGATTCAGTAAATTATTTGTGAATTTAGTTAATCCAGACTGGATTAACTAAAGGAAAGAAAATTCACAAAAAAAAAGGAGCTGTTGTGCTTGTCAAGACAATATTCTTAGGAATTCTTGTGCTGTACGCAATAGCCTGTATTAAGTCCTGCAAACCACTAGAATTTTTTCTCATGACTAAAAATTCCATTCTGCAAACCTTGCAACATTTATAAAACATTGCATCCATTTGAAAATAGTGTGTCACTTTCCATCTGAAAATGAAATACTTTGCTTCAGAGCATTTTGTAATTTTCTTTCCCCAATTATGTGACATTTTCAATAGGAATAATTTTTCAGGAACATCTTTATGTAATTTAAGGTGTTTAGACTGGGGAGGCAATTGTTTTTACCTATGTTCTTCATGTTGTTATTGTTGTCGTTGTTGGTTATTTGTTTGTTACCACAATAACTAAAGTTTCAATTCAATTCAATTCATTTTTATTCAACAACAGTACATTTGAGACAAAATTTGGTAAGTCTGAATGGTTTCAAACTTCATTCAAATTCCTAATGTTATTATTGTTATTGTTATTATGTTATTGTTGTAATTTGTAATGTAATAATATTATGGTAATAAGATAATTATTGAATGTGTTTTTTTAATAGATGATTGATCCTATACTTTGCATAGCGGCTTCACTGAGTGTCCAGTCTCCATTCACAAGCAAGGCTCATTCTAATCAAGATGCAATGGTATATACAAAGCATGTTTATACTGTTGATGAAGTCTTCATCCTCCATGATTTGTTGTATCATTTGTATTTATTAGTAAATCCTTCAACAAAACTAAGGCACTTAGAAAGCACCAGCGAAGGATTTTACTCATCACTATCTATTCCTGAAAGATACTGATTGATTGATTGATTGATTGATGTTTCTTTTGAATATTTGACAGATTAATTGAACCTAACAGAAATATTTGAAATTCAGTTGTCTGATACAGTTTTATTATTTTATATTTATAAATTAATTAAAAACACCTTTCTCATCATTGTGGTCATCTTCATCATTATTATCGTCATTATCATTATAATTTTTTTTTTTTAAATACAAATACAAGGTAACAGTGACAGAAATCTAGCTTTAAAAACAGTATGTTCACCACCACCACCAGAACAAGCTTATGGAATACCACAATTTCCAGTGTTTTGGTGGAGCTTCCCAGTGGCATAATTATCTAAGGGGTTTGCACACCCCCTTAAAAGAACTTGTGTGCCCCCCCGTAACCTTTCCAATTAGAAATATTCAATGCAAAAACATCACGCTCAAATGGATAAATATGACCTTATTTTGTGAGCTACTGTAGTGCCCCCCCTCACTAATTATCGAGGTATCCCCCACTTTACCTTTACTTCCCATGAGCCCCCCTTTTTAAGACACCTAAATATGCCACTGGAGCCTGCTACCAGTAGAGAGAGATAGGTGTGCTGTGGACTGTAAAGTATATACCTTACACAAGCTGCGTTTTGTGCTCCATAGGCTGCAAGACGTTCCCTAGAATCAGACCATGGTGATCCCTTTACACTCCTCAATGCTTATGATGAGTGGGTCCAGGTAAGTTCAATTCAGCCAGCTTACACAGACTTGTGCATGTTCAGTGGTTCAGCATCCCATCTGTAGTTTTATAGGGGCCAGGACTCGAATGTGATGACCCAGTTTCTTTTCTCTTCGTTTGACCATAGTATTAGTAAAATTACAATAGAATTTTGAAAATCTGTTATCAATATTAACTTTATCAAGGTTACCATTGTATGTCACTGCACCATAAGCTTTTATATGCTTTGTTGGAGTAGTTGGTGCAGCAGCTATGGTTCGGGTCTCAACATTATCGATGTTTGCCTCTTTTCACCCAGGAGCTTAAATGGTTACCTGCTAGGATATTTAGTGTGTAGTTTGCTGTATTTGTTCATATACAATCTACTTATATATGAATAGGTATAATCCCCTCGTAGAAGAGAATTTTGAACATTTTTCTGGTTTATCAACCAATTAATCAAATTTTTAGTGGGTACACCTTGGATTTAGTATTAGAATTGGCACCCTATAAATTCAGGATATTATTGTTGATGGATACTTGTGCTTGTTATTTTTATTATTTTGGATTAGAAGTAGTATATCATCATAATTCAGACTATTAAGTTTATGCACTATATTACCTTTCCATAGATTAAAGCAGATCGAAGCTCTACTTCCCGTAAGTGGTGCCGGCGACGTGGACTTGAAGAGCAGAGGTTTTACGAAATGTCAAAACTTGTGAAACAATTCAAAGGCTTATTAACGGTAGGAATAAAGATAAGGACAGCATTTAATTTTGTTGATAAATTTTCTTATAAATGAATAGAATGATAGAAAGTGAACGGTTGTGTCAGTTACATGACTATCTAGAGATGCTACCCTACCATTTTGGTTTACCTGCTATTTTCTTAAATTTCTGAAGGATTATGGTTTAGTGAACAGAAAAGTACAAACAGCCAGTGAGTTAACAAGCTATGATCGACAGCAGAAATATAGAGATCGTAAGAAACTGACATCACTAAAGAGAGAGCACCAGGGCACCAGGAGGAAGAGGAAGTTCCTACGTCTGGAGGATGGGGTAAGGCTTCTATAAAGCCAAGTACTCCAGATAGCATTGTCTTTCTTTTTTAGTATTCATCCATCACAGGGATGGTACCAGTACAGTGGTGGTGGGGGGGGGGGAAGAAATACCAAGCTAAAGCTTTAGTTAGGCTAATCCTGACACCACCTCTGATTCAACCATCTTGTTCTAAACAATATTCACTTTTGTTGTGATCAAAACATTTAACTTCATTTATAGTACTTAACACATTAAACATAACAGAAACAACATTGGGCCTAGCAGCAAGTAAAGAATCAGAAAAGACAAAACATGCAAAAGACCTAGTAGCAGATACATGGTCCTGAAGTTCACCAACAGTATCATTTAAACATCAAGAGATACAGCATAGATACATATATGCAAATATACATTTAATAATCCTAATTGAAATGTATACTACTTGTTATTATCTTTGAAGATTAATAAAAAGTTATCCTCTATCTTTGAAGATTAATAAAAAGTTATCCTCATTATAATATATTTATTTATTATGCCAGTTCAGATATAGACAACCAATCAAGTCTTAGCTAATACTGTCTTTGTGTAGTATGTTATGTAACAGTGGCAGATCCAGTAATTCAAAATAGACAGGGCCCAGGGGGACTTCCACTAATGGATAATCTACGCTACCTCAGCCCACCATATTGGGGCTGACGTAAGAAAATTTTTGATTATGGCACCTCTAAATGGCCGAAAATGGCACTCTGAGACCTAAATTTCGTTAAAATTTTCCCTTTTTCTCCATTTTATTTATAATTTTAACAAATTTAAGTGGTCCCGGGATGGCTCCCCCTCCCATTGAATCTGCTACAGTGTAACTATGTAGTATATTATGTAACTATGTTTGGACAATGTTTAATGATCTATACGTCTGTTTCACAGGATGTTGAAATAAGTGAAGGGGAAGATGATGATAATCCAGAAACTAACATAGCTGACTTGGAATTTAAACTTTCCAATGATTTGAATCAGCTGCAGGTTTGTCTAAATCTTACGGGCTGTGTTTTCAGTTTACGTGTACGTAGGTGCATCCTGCAAAGGACCAAATGGTCCATAAACACAGGGTAACAGGGGCTGTATGGACCAGTACACCGGGGTAACCTCCTACTGGGTTCTTTAAAGTGCACATGAGCCAATTGTGTACACTGGGCCTACAGTTCATAGTCCTATCTGAGAAAACTTGTTCGACCACAGAACCATAGGCGAGCTTGCCATCCAAACCAGTGATCATACTATGGCTGTAGCTAGATTGCAACACCCCTGTCTTAACTGTTCGGCCATTCGACTCGCCAGACCAAGTCTTTCAATCAATTAGAGTCTGTAAAGATGATGGCCAGCTGATTTTAGGGTGACAATAATGCAGTAATAAAAACAACTCACAAAAATCATGATGATTTTCAGGAGCCCAAATCACAGAAGACATGGGACCCAGTGTATTGTTTAAATCATAGACCACTAATTGTTTTTTTATGTATATTAGATTTTAATTTAATTCCATTAGTGCAGTCTTCCGGATGTATTAAATGTGTGTTAATCTTTTAAGAATGCTGTCTTTTGGTAATTTCCATTGACTGTACTGAAGTCTATACTAATAGGTAATGTATAAATGGTAAATTAAAATTTTAAAATTTTCTGAAATAATTTTAGGAGGCAGCAAACGTGACAAGAAGTTTTACCCTACGTGATATCAACCTGCTTAAGGTGATCCTTTGCAGCGGACTGTATCCACAGCTTGCCATTGCAGATGACTGCAATTCCTATAGGAAGGACACAGATCAAGTGTTTCATACAAAAGTAATTATATATTCTACAAACAATTCATCATCTTTAACAATTAAGAAGATGAATACTGTAATCTTTAGCCTGTGTGTAATTGTAAGGAATAGAATTTGAATACAGACTTTTGTAAAGCTTGGTTTCCATACAATTGCTACACTTTTGCTATAGTGTTTTCAGTATAATCATTGTACCGTATGGCAGTCCCTGATGCAATCGGGAAGTCTCCCTGCTTCTACCGACCAATCAGCATCACCGAAAGCTGTCAGCAATAGCGTATAGCAATTGTATGGAAACCAAGCCAAACCAAGATTTCATGCGTATGTATCTTCTATTGATGTATTTTGATGTATGTCTATACTTTAATATTTGTTGTATAAAAAGCAACTCATACTACTGTAGAACCCCTCAGGACCAAAATAGTGTTCTCTTAGTAGAGGTGTTCCCTGAATAGGGATTGGGATTGGAGGTAGATTTCCCTATTTCATGTCAGTGTTTAGTTTAATGTACCAATTCAAATGTTATTTTGATCTCTGATATGTAGGCTAAGCCATTTGTGTTACTGCATCCCACTGGGATATTTGCAACCAACCCAGACACCCTTGAGCCACCAGTATCTGATGAGGAGTCTAATACTAAGAAGGTGTTCAGTAATAAACACCAGTTGCTAGCATTTGTGTAAGTGAAATTATTTGTAACAAATAAGATATATAGTAAATAGTAATACAGTACAGTACTATGATAATGGTAATAATAATGGAGGTCATTCTGGACTTTTACAGTAGCACTCTCAATATTGTAAATTGGACAATAATGTCCACTTAGCAGGTCATAGGCAGAAAGGAAAGATAGGTGTTGCTTGGCAACTACCCTTTCAAAATATTTAGCCACTTTCAAATATGGAACCTCACCAAATTAGAGAGAACTGTTAATTAAGGCTGTTAAAGCAGAACTATATTTTCTGGCAATGTTCAAGCATGTATTTGAATTGGGTTGAAGAAACTAAATGTGTTGAACATTCATTGAGTGTGTTAATGTAATACAGCAAAGTTAAAAATTGACTTAATTATAATAGAAACTTAATAGTGGTCCTTCCTCATTACCTGCATACAAAGGATTTGTGTGTGAAACTCAGTGTTATTCTTGTTTCTGTTCAGATCGCTCTTGGAAACAACGAAGCCCTACCTTGTGAATACTATGCGTGTTCCTGCACTCCAGACAATGCTACTTTATGCTCACAGTTTAGATACAAACACAGATTGTACAAGGTAAGCATGGAAAACTGAAACAGAGAAGGTAAAGAAAGCTGTTTTTACCAGTTCTAATTCATTATAGGTATTTTTAGTATTAGATTATCATAATGTTTTAATTACTGTACATTATGTTCTCTCTAATTCATCATTTAGATATTTAATATTGCACATCCAATAGCAAGTACTAGGGTCCCAAGTTAGAGGAAGTCACATCTGAGAGATCTGATTAAATAAGATTTTTTAACACTACATATGGATGATAGATATGTGTGCCCTATACATTTCTGATTGATTGATTGAATTTTTATTTGCTGTGCATAGTGATAAACATTGGCACTGACTTCTGTATGACAATTGATAATTCAGTAGCAAAAACCTGCAAATTATTATGACCCTATGTTGGGCAAAGTTTACACATGTACGTCAACTCAACATATTTAAACTATCATTGTTTTTTAATGTTCGATTTTCAATCTGGCCAGAATGTATCCAGCTTATTGGAAAACACAGTTAATTGAAACATTAGCCCAACAAGCTGAATCAACTTCGACCGTATGCTAGACGAATGCCACAAATTTACGTTGGCCTAACATGCTCATAATGCACGACTTACAGACAATTTTTTCATTGGGTATTATATTCTATTTTAGGAGACTGACATATTATAATAATTATCATTATTATTAATATTGGTACTACTGTATCTGTTTTACAGTAGTAGATAACTTGTATAGTTTTGGCTTTTATTTGTAGAGTTGTGGCTGATGACTGGGTGGAGTTCAAGTTCCAAACAGATACGGATGCTCAGCAAATGATCTCCTCAGTAGTCCAACTTAGAGACACCTGGCAGAAGCTTCTAAAAATGAGATTAGAGGGTAAGTTTAAAGAAAACTTTTTTTTTATTACACATTTGCACATAATACATTGGCAGCTTAGGATGTTACATTTTTATTCAAGCATTACAAGAGCAATTTTAGGTAAAATCAGTCATTAGGTGGCTTTCATTTGCATGAAGAGATTACCCTAAGACTGATTCATTTGTTGGTGGCCATCATGGTTTTTCTGCACATTGCATATACAACCCAAACCCCATCCTAGAACTCAGATGACCATAAAAAAAAATCAATTTTGTTGGATGTGCAGAAAACTTTATGTGATGTTATGTCCAAAATCTTAACTTTGTCAAGCCCAGTGACGTATCTAGTGAAGTAGTTAAAAATTACCTCATATTACCTTATTTTGCGACTTAGTGCCCCCTCACATAGCCGTTGGTCCCCCCTCTGCCTTTGTACCCCATCATCTCCCCCCCAAAAACTCCCAGCTACGCCACTGGTTGTGCAGTCAAAAGCTCTCTAGTATCATCATCTTCCTTTATGATTTACTGTAACTTTTTCTTTTACTGTAATCATGCATATGTTTGAAACAAATCAAAATAATAAATTACTTTTTTTTATAATCAGATGCAAATGGCTCAAGTGCTGATCAACCCATCGACGTTGGCTTATTACAATTTGAAAAGCAGCTTGCAGGCAAGCTTGTGCAGTTCTTGGAATCTAACATCAAGTACACAATGAAGAAAATTGCTGGTTCTGAATTACAAAATCTGTACATTGGTCCTACAGAAGGTAATCCTGTTGTTGTCTCTAAGTCATATCATAACTCTTATGCCTTCACCTATATCTTTGTAGGCATTTCCCAGCAGCTTTGCACTCAGTGTGGTTAGAAGCAACCACATTGTTTTCCCATTCCTTCTCTTATATTACTGGTCAATTATGGTCATATTGTTCATACACCCAACTTAATGCACTGCACTAAAACACCTCACCCTAGTTCCATTGCCTCTGGATGAGAGGCCAAGTATCATTGCACCAAGATTGGTTGAGCAGTTTCATATGGTATTTTGTGTAAATGAAATCTCATCATTTAAAAATCTTTTTCTTTTAGGAAATGATACAGATAACTTTTTCATCTCACAAAGTAAAGATGCTAAGCCACACCCTATCAAAGGCGGTACCCAGGTTAACAGTTACCTCACAATTGCCAGGTGAGCTGCTTCAAGTGTTGGAGACATTTGAAATGGTTTAAAGTGCTGTGGTGGGATTGTAATTGAGCACAAACTTATAGATTAGATTCTTGCACGTGCCATATATAAGCTTTTGTCTTATAAATGTGCTTCCTTGAAAAAAAATTTAAGTATGATAATGGAGCTATCATTTAATAAATAGTTAATATTGATGGAGGGCTTTAAAATGATACAATACAGCACCAGATTTGTTCTTAGAATATTCCCTGCATATTATGGATAATTTGTAATTTCTTTTACTTTGTTTAGAGCTTCATTTAACTATTTATTTTACATTTTTTTATGTTTGAAGTTGTCTTATAACTGTATTAGTTTTTGTGAATGCCAGATTCTGGTGTTAACATTACATTTTGTTAATGATTGTATAAATATAAAAGTTGAATTGAATTACATATATAATATCAGATGGTATACTCTCCACCAATGAGTATTAATGGGTACCTTATATTTTATGAAAATGAATTGGCATGGTGCTGCAGAACTAGGAATAATCTCCATATGTGGTAGAGGCTGTTGTACATGATGCAACATGTAATATCTGATTACCATATCATAAATATAAACAACATGAGAACCAATTTTGATGGATAATAGTTTTTTTTTTTAATTATTTGATAACATTCTGTTTTTAACTTTCATCTTTTTTCATTATAGCCTTCAAGACAATGATTCAAACAGCCTAGGAATGTATAGCTCTGTTCTCCGTGAGCATTGGACATGTTTAAAGTGCAATGAAGCCATGATTGTAACAATGGTTGAAAGGTTACAACATCAAAGCGAGTGCAAGTCAACACAATGTAAGAATATCAAATCTATTTATATAGTTAATATAAAACAATTAAACAGAATATGCTACTGTCACAAGTGATCTTTTATCTAAGAATATCAAACAAGATTGCACACCTTGTACGGATTTGTGAAATCTTGGAAATGGAAGTATGGGAATGATATGGCATCTTCCACATTCTTTGTGTTATTTTAATGAATGTATGTTCACATAATACATGTATAATGAAAAAGAACTTTACAAATTGCATGTTGTTGCTCTACTGATGTTTTCTTGTCATGTATTCAACTCTATGTCCCTACTGAAAATATAAGCTTTCGGAGTCGTCCATCCTGTGATGCAATATGTAACCTCGTTTGTATCTAAACTTGGGCATTATCACTACAATGTTGTTCTGTTTTTTTTTCATGCAGTGTTAGATACAGCTGGAACATCTGCAGATTCTACCTCGGCAAAAAGCTCCTTAAAGAAACTGGCAAAAGCGTTCTACTGTGAAATCTGCAAGCAAGACTTCAGTCTCACTAGTACTGAGATTCTAAAACATAAACGATCCCACAAGGCAACTGATTCCTTGCAATCTTTTTCAAAGTAACAGTGATCCATAACTGAATTGATGCATAGAATAACACTATTTTGCATTTTACAAAGAAAATAATCTATTCATTGCGACTCATTAAAAATATTATTTACTTGTAGATTATATGTTGTTTTTCTGACTTTGACATGTTCATAGTCATAGTTTTTATATAATATAATAAACTTGAAATACAGGTTATTTTATTTAATTGTTACGATTTTAGTTGTCATATTCTTTCCTAAAAGTTATTCTCTGTTCGCACTTGCTTCAATTTGCACAGAACACCGCAGCAAGACTTGTCACCAAATAGAAATTTCACTCCCCGTCTCAAGAAACTTAACTAGTTATCTGCATCATCTCGCATTCAATATAAAATATGTTTGATACAAACATGACCTGGAGCCTCATGTTGATATTTTACCACTTCAATCAAGCTTTCACAATCTCAGATTTTAAAAACTCAACAGACGATCACTTTCATGTATAGCTCCTGTTAAATTGAAAACAAATGTTGTGTACTGTACTTACTTCATCATTAAGTGCCACCGAATATTACTTTACGTGATAAACTTTTGATTTGTTGATTTATTGATTGATTCATCTATTTATTTATTTATTGAGTGAGTGACTGATGAGCCAGCCATACGTATTCAAGTTTTTGTAATTTTATCAAACTTGCATCCACATTTTGATCTAAATCTAAATACTCTGATGCAAGTTTAATCACATCTATACATGCTCGCTGACTTCCATAGTGTCATTTGTGGAAATCTTCAAACTCAACCAATATAATATTTTCACATTCAGATTTATTATATAATTTACATTTCCATAGTTTATAAACATCCATCTATATTTTCACACATGATTGAATATGTTCAGTTCAAAAATGCTGATTTTTTTTTTATTAAGGTTTTATGAAAAAAAAATACCGTAATTAACATACAGTATACATAAAACTAATGTTAAATGTTCAAGATATTGGTAAAGCAGATTGTTCACAGCTCGGTAACGTCGCCTACATCAGTTATTTCAATTTCTGGCGCACTTAACCATTCGGAATTGCACTCACGAAAGTTATCTTCATCATCACTATTAGATATCTCATAGAAGAGGCGATCAAGCTCCACGCTTGTTTGTGAACTCGACTGTTCGCTCAGCTGTACTTCTTCCAGTGCTATGCCACTTTCGAGACAATATTGCTGAATATTTTCGTAATTCAGATCATCAGCCTCAATGTCGTCGTGATCATTAGTGATCGAACGGCTGGCAAAGTTCAGGGCAACATCGTCGAGGTGAGGTCGATGGCTGGTATATCTTTGAAGATTTTTAATCTTTTCTCCGGTGTTTGCTTTCATTGGTGACCACATAACACTACATCCAGATTTCCCATTAATGATGCATTCTTGCTTGGTTGACATCTCTTCTAGTTTGAATGCATCTTTGGTTGTCATCTGACTTTTCTGTATCGTCTTTTGTCGAACGGCGTCGCTTGCGTGCTCGCCATTCCCTTCAGATGATGTTTTTAGTATTGGCATGACGTGAACTAGCTGACAGGCGTGTTTTGTTGGGTCCTTCGCATCAATTGATTTCATCATGCATGTATATTCTTTTGGATTGTCTGGATTAACCTGTATTGGTTCCAATACAAACTAAATAATGGATAAGAATCAACAGAAGAAAACAATCAGAAGTTATTAAACAGTGCTACCAAATTCGTAATCTTCAATCCAATAGGCCAGGTCCTCGTATTTAAGTGTAACACTATTGGCTAGTCGATTAAATAATTGCTCTGATATTGCAGGTAACATTAGAGGTAGCAGTAGTATATGATATAACTGATTATCTTCAGGGGTGGCGCCAGGATTTTCCCGACAGGGGGGTGGGGGCGAGGTCCCCGACGGGGGGCCGATGCCCCCGACGAGGTGTCAGATTTCCCAGACGAAAGCAAAGTAGGCGTGGTCGAGCTTTGATTAAAAGTACCGAAAGTGGTCCTAGGGGCGAAGCCCCCGGAAATTTCGACAATTTAGGTGTTTCAAAGGCTTATTTAATCGATTTTAGAGTCTACTACTATGTATAAAATACATATACAGTAATATTTTTTTCTCCCCGACGAATTGTGATTTTTCTCCCCGACGGGGGTGGGGGCCAGCTCTCCCCGACGGGGACCCTGGCCCCCCGCTGGCGCCACCCCTGATTACCTTTTGCGTTTTTTCTGCCATCATAACCCGATGTTCATCTGAGGTTTTATTATACTTGACCGGAGATCCTTGCCGATTGTCTGAATAGCTTCCTTTTCGTACAGGTGAGAAACTATCATTGTGGTTTATTGATCTCATGTGTTCATGCATGGCCTCCTCTGACGGGAAGAGGTTTGCTAATGAGTATTTTGACTCTCTTCGTTTCTTTGCAGGTCTTGGCTGGTACACCCAACCTTTTGGAAAGAAAATTAGAATTCTTTGATACTTTTTATATACGTCTGTTGTGTGGTACTTTTTTTGAAGTCTCTAATGTAGTCTAACTGATGAAATCATCGAGGGCACACTGACCTGGGAAATCACGTTTGTGTTTCCTCTTTATGATGTCGGCCTCGTCATAGTAGCTTTGCTTCTGTCCTTTTGGCAATGCGTTCCACATCTCTCCAAGTTTGACACTAATCTGAGAGTTTGTAAGCCCGTTGAAGACGTTGGCCACTATAGGGCGGTGCTTTTTCGCCCAGACCATGAAAGCGTTCATAGGTCGCTTGATTCGAGCCTCCACAGAGGACTGGGTCTCGGACTCTTTACGGGAGAAAGGCAACATTTAAAGAATGATCTGAAGGTTATTGGCTCCTAGTAGGTCTGCCTACTTTTCATATGAAGCTTTGTGTTATCCATTATGGTGGCTTTGCATATTTATTATTTAGTAGATTTATATTATTAATTGGTTTTCTATGTTTTCATATGCTTTTACCGTTTGGTGTTATTATCATTATAGTATTCTACTTTCCAACGTACCCTTTCTTCCCGATTGAACGTTTTTTGAATAAGATGACGACCATGTTCGACTATTGCTATTCGAAGTAGTAGAGAAGCCTTGAGGAGCAGAGGAACCTACTGGTGTGAAGCGGTGTGTAATAGTGATAGTAGGCCGACTGTTGAATGATGGACTGTTCTGCGACTCTGCACGGTTGCCATCAGCTGAGCGAATATGACCTTGGTTGATAGGCGTATGACGATAACTGCTATTGTGTTTAGCATTTGGTCTATCAGGTGACGAGATCTGCACACATTTCGTACGGTTGCTAGTACTTGTTCGTTGGACCTGAGCTTTCCTTACAAGTTGGGTGGATGAGATCTTTTCGATATTACTTTTACAAGGAATGCTTCGGACTCTTTCTAATATTCTGCTAATCGATGTCGACGCAGATGAATCAAAGGTATTTAGTTTTGAAGATTTGTCAAACATGGCTGAATTCTTGCAAGTATCATGCAATATAGCACTTAGAGCATTTGACGAGACTAACTCTTTAAGTAACCTATCGCCTGATGAGACCAATTCGGTCGGAGAGTTCTTTTCATGAACTGTAAACGTTGGCAGGGTTCGAATTAACGGCCTGTCTGCAGGGCGATTATGAACAACCCGTGTTGGAATCGCCAAGCAATCAGCAACTGAAGCGTCGTAGAACCCATTTGTGCTAGATGATTGGATTAAATGTGACGTCAATTTCAGTTCTTTGGTTGATGATATTATGGATGAATGTGATGGCGATTTTGATCTATCAATGGATCGGCCTTCATTTGGTGTAGTGTGCAAATTGTTCGGAGAGTGAGACGCTTCTTCGCAATGTTGGAATGTGGATTGTTGCTGACAACGATGAATTGAATTAAATTCAGTTGGTTGATAAGCTGATTGTGTAATCGGTAGAATTGATGGTTCACAGTGTTGGCGAACCCATACCGTCTTCGGAGTCCATGTATCTGCATTTTCATTCAAGACATGACACGATGGAAAACTATATGTAGGTCTATCTGAAATACCATAATGATAACTGACTTTTTCTGATGTATTTGTCAGCAGGTCTGCTAGGTTAGATACGATCTGATCTTTCTCTTTAATTTTATTATAATGATTTTCATAATTATTGTATATTGCGGAAGTATTCTTTGACCAATCTGCTACGATAGATAAGCCAATGTTGTGATTATCCTCTTTTCCATTATTACGATTTTGATTTTCAAATGAGGTTTGGTTTTTTGATATATTATATTCCTTATGATTAGAAGCATTTGGGTAGACCACAAACTTACAAACAGAATCTTTGCAATGCGCCCGCTCTATACAGTTATCATTTCTTTGACAAATTCTCATATTTGATAATTTCGTTTGTTCAATACTGCATAATAAATCTCGAGTAGACCTACAACAATTTAAATAGTCATGGTTATCGTCAAATTTTTGATGACAAGTCGGATAGCTTGATTGGATTTCGCACAAAGCATGATTCGTCGACACTGGAAGGATTGAAACAATTGATTGGTTGATTTTTTGCTGAGTAAAATCACAAGGTAGTAATCCACCAATACCAGCAGGACATGCTTTTTGTTGAATTGTTGAACATTTGCAAATTAAGTGTGCATCTAAAATAAATAAACGTAAATAACATGTAATCACTGAAATTGTTTTGTAGGCCTGTAGGCCTACTATGTTTGTTGGTGAAATACGGTAGTAAGGCTTTGTAATCAAAGCCTTATAGGCCTAGGCCTATATGAAATGTATTATGATATATTACATATTATACATATTTATTCAGCTCGTACAGCATAATTGTCAAGAATGAGGACAACGATAATGAGGTATTCGTTATCGTTTTCGTAAGGTCGCGATATCTCTATGTGCAGTACATACATGAATACATTATTTTTTTTTTTTATTTACGTACTCAAAGGGAATTATTTTAGGTCTTACTTTTAGAACTACTACGGCCTGATCGCTTTGGGTCGTGTTAAACACTACGAACTTTCTGTGGTTGGTACCGTGTGTTTCGGCGACTGGAAATTAGCTAAAACATGGTAATTATTGCTACTTATTCAAATGATTGCCCGACGCCATACTGGTGGTTCCATCTTAAACCTTACTCTTTATACACCTCATAAATTTATATAAAGATCAAAATAATCATGTCAGTTACTGACATAATAATAATTATGTCATGCCATTGTTATTTAATTACATATAAATCATCAAAGAAAGGTGTACAGAGTTCAAATAAAGGATAACACATCGTGTAGCATACAGTAGCTCTCAACGAATGCGGTCCATAAATAAATATAGAAACTGTGTAATAAAATGCCTCTGACGGGATTTGAACCTGCAGCATCTCACTGTCAAGGCGAGCGTCATAATTAGACCACAGACGCTTCATAGTTGAACAGATAACGTAATCAAATAACGTCAGAATATGTACTGCTGGAAACAAATAATAATATATAATATAAATCAAGATAGCCGTTAACACTGTTAAATTATATAAATCATCAAAGAAAGTTAAACAAAGTGTTCACATAAAGGATAATACATCGTGTATCATAGCTCTATAAATATATAGAAAAGTTGTGTAATAAAATGCCTCTGACGGGATTCGAATCTGCAGCCTCTCGCCAAGGCGAGCGTCATAACCATTAGACCTTAGAGACTTCATTGTTGAACAGATTAAAATAACGTCAGATACACTCTATTACACAATAGGTACGACTGGAAACAAATAATTGCAAATAATATAAATCAAGATAGCCGTTAACACTGTTATTTGTATATAAATCATCAAAGAAAGGTAAATACTGCAGTGTTTTATACATTATTTAGATAAATAAATATATAGAAAATAGTAGAAACATGTTTATATATATATATATATATATATATATATATATATATTAATATAAATAGGCAAAATTAATTGCATATTCAATTTCTGAAAAACGAACCTAGTATTTCAAAATTACAGTAAACCCCAAGCTAACAAGAAATGAACAACCAAACTACTAAATAACAATAATAGTGGTATGAAAATTACTTGAAACAAAAATTATTATTATTATTATTATTATTATTATTGTTGTTATTATATTACTATATTGTCGATTTTTCTACAAATTCGAGTTGAAATATATAAGCAATTCAATCTGCCTATATCAAATTAGGTGGCAGTATATTTCAATTTGCTGACATTTAAGAGTAAGCTATATGCAAGACTTTATAGGGAGGAATGCCTTATATTCACGTCCATTAATATAGGCCTACGAGGATTTTTCCCTGGTAAAATGTTTACTAGATTCGCGGGATAGTAATCTTAAATTGATATGATAAAGGAAGACACAAATATAGGGAGATGGGTGGAACCATTGATTAGCATTTCCAGTCTTGTACCAGATGGTTTTGATCTGATTTAAATAATGTAAATTAATCCAGGTGACTTTATCCAAAATACGCAACTCGGGCCATAACAATGAAGTTGTATCTACTGACACAAGAACGGTCATGTTAAATGTAGAGTAGTAAATTGTAGGAATATACCAAAACGGCAGAATTTCGGGTAAGTACCTACATCTGTTCCAGTAGGGGCAATTCTCACGTGTGCACAATTGTTACATGGTAATTTTGGGGAGGGAGGGGAGGATGACTACTGGCTTTTGTTGCATATTTTGGCCACATGATGAATCATTTAGCATATGCCGCCTTCTTTTTCACAACGAAATCACGGTATTTGTTGTCGATGGGACGTATAATGAAAAACATTACATTTTTATGACTTGTAAATATGGCTGGTAACTTACTAGTTTCATAATGATAATGCCTTAAAATAATATGTGCTTTGATTTCAGCTGGTAGTGCTAGATGCAAACAATAACGACTCAATGGAAGAGGCTTGTGGTGGTGAACAACTGTCAGCCTCAAAGGCGTCAGTAAGTACATCGACGGAAACGTTACGGCCAAGTGCGTTAACTTTTTCTGCATCTAAGCCCGTTACCCCTGGAAACGAAGGTGATATTCGAGCCATTATATCAGATGTTACTTCACTGTTAGTGCTCTCTGCAATGAGTAACGAACTCTATAAATCGTCAGGTAGAGTTTTTTTTTATTAGTCGGGATATGATTTTCAATTTAAGGTCACACTTGAAAAGAAGACAGTCTGTCAGGCTATGCCTGAAATCATAAAATAGGCAATAATCAACAAAGTAAGCAGTGGCGTGCCAAGAGATAGATTAATGGAAGTTTACTCTATATACTTAACAAGAATTTGATTATACTGTATATATATATTTATATATATACTGTATATACACTCTGTATATATATTTATATAATATATATATATTTATATATATATATATACTGTATATACACTCTGTATATATATATATATTGTATATATATATACACTGTATATACTGTATATATATAAATAGATAGATTAAATAGATATAGATGTTTATACTGTGTTTCAAACCAATTTGAATATTATTTAATACCGTATGATTTCCAAGCTTCGATATAAGCCTTTCTAGCCTTAACATAGCTCCACTAAGCGTTTCAGTCAATGTTAGTAAGTGCTTGGGATTAGATCTGCACGTCTCACTGGCCTAATTGCATGATACTCGTCTTGATAGCGAGGTTGCAGATTCGAATCCCGCTAGACACCTTTTTTCATACAACTGAAAATAGGTAATTTTTTTGTTGAAGGGCTAGGCCTATGTTTGATAGGAATATAGCATCGTGTTCCTATTTGAGCATTATTATTATTATTATTATTATTATTATTATTATTATTATTATTAATAATAATATTATTAATATTATTAATATTAATATTATTATTATTATTATTATTATTGTTGTTGTTATTAGACCTATTATTATTATTATTGTTATATATATATTATACATATAATTATAATTATATATGTATATGTGTATATTATATATAGTGTATGTATATGTATATATAATGTAGGCCTATGTATATAATGTAGGCCTATATATAATTGTGTATATGTATATATGTATGTATATGTGTATGTAAATATATATATATATTAAGAATGGGAAGCCAAAACGTTCCATCAGACTCAACGTACAATATCTAAATAACCTTAAACCGAAAGGCCCACTGATTAATCTCAGATAAGATAGTAAAATACATATTCCAAATATCGAAATGCACGCCATCGTGTCGGGATTCAATATTTCGACATTAATTATGTCATCATCAGGAATGATGATAATATAATTAATGTCGAAATATAGAATCCCGACATTGAATCCCGATATAGGCCTAACCTTTATTTTGTATTTCGAAGCTTCAACTGACATTACCCACGACCAGCAGGTGCGACTAATCGAGGCGACCAGTGCCGTGATTCAGTCCCTAAACCAGATCATTCCTCGAGAATACAGAAAATGTATGTATATTATAATTGTAGTATTCTGTACTGTAACTGTTCGCAGTTTTGGTAGTCATCAAGTTCAAGTTCAAAACAACATTTATTTTCTCAAAAGTAATAATAGCATATATAAAATGATAAATAACCAGCCAAGTTTGAGGGGTGAAACCCAGAAAGCGGAACTTGTGTAGGGCTGCCCTGAAATTAACACACAGAAAAACCAAAGCCAAAGACAGGACAGGACAGGACAACAGGAGACAAGACAGACAAAGCAGACAACACGAGGAGGATTTTTTTTTTCTTTTATAATTTTGGGAAAAAAACAAAAAGTAACGAGATGGTAAAGGAGATCGAGAAATGGGTAAAAGGAGAAAATTATGCATAACTTGATAAGAAATGTTTTTTTCAGTCTTGAACAGAAGTTTTTTTTAGAGTAGGAATTATAAATGGATTGTGGAAAAACGTTCATCAAAAAGGAAATCTGGGTAGATGAGCTGGAAATTAGGCCTATAATCCTATAGAAAAGAATATATAGTACTCTGTGGTGGCGGGTTATAACTAATTCATAAGTATAATTGAAATTGATTATGTAATTTGACTGCCACTTTAAAAATTGCGCATTGACCTACATAAAGAAAATACATTATAATATAATTATTAATAGCAATAATATAAAAAGTATTGTATCAATATTATTATTGCTTTTATAGGTAAAGTGGTAATATTGTTTTATTTATGAGGAAATATTTGATGGTAAAGTATTAATATTTGGTATTATTTAAAAAATATATTAAAAGAAGTAAAATGAATGACTTAAACATAGAAATATGTAAAAGCTTTGTACCTCGGCATTTATCGAATTTTGGAAAGAGCTGCTAATTTCAAATTACAATTGGAGTGGCAAAATGCAACGTTTTCATATATTTTATACTATTATTGCGAAATAAGTTAGTTTTCTAAATAATATGAGACATCAAACACGTTGGTTAGGTAGTAAACTTCGATTAAGCGCTGGACTTTATGAGTTTTAATTCATTGGGAATTTATTAGGAGTTTATCTCAATAAGCGCAGTGAGAGAGGCGCTTAGGGGAACTCTCTGGTGCGCGGCAATTCCCAGTATTGTATGTTACTTATTTAAATAAAAAACTAATAATATATTTTATTGAAACTGATTAAGCCATGAAAAAAATTGATGAATTGTAGATGGACTCTTATGAAATAGACTGAATGATTGAAAGAATATGTACTCGAACGACTTAACTAATAAATGTACGAACTAACATACTGTAAATTAAAAAGATATTAAAAATAAAAGATTCTTTTACTAGATCCGTCTTTTTATGCTTTGCTTTTTGTGAATGTGCTGTTATTTAATAAAGAAAAACTTTCGTTCATCTTTGTTCAACTTCAATTTTTCTCACGGATATAATCCAAATCGGTTTGTTCATACTCGTATGCAAAATATTTTATATTGCTACTTTTATATTTTAATTCAGTTATATTGTTTTAATCCATAGCATATACAGACAGTCAAGGGACAATATCAGCAATTCAACAATTTAAGCATTCAGAGTCCTCCAACAGTCTGGCATCTTTGGAATTCAAATCATGCACATCAAATGATAACTCACAATCTTCGGACGCATTCAGGTATCATCAACATCATCTTTGCCGTTATAATATCGTCATCATTATCATCATCACCACCATTATCATTATCATCATCATCACCACCATTATCATTATCATCATCATCATCATCAATATTTCATGATAATTTTCATCTACTATTATGGTGATGCTGCTGCCAATATACATGCCGATAGTGCTGCTTACTGGTAGTGATACACTACTTTAATCCATTCCATACACTGAATACTGACACTGTTATCATCAAACCTTTAATTATATATATATGTATATATATATATATATGTATATATGTATATATATATGTATATATATATATATATATATGTATATGTAGGCCTATATGTATATGTATGTATGTATGTATATATGTATATATATAATATGTATATATGTATATGTATGTATGTGTGTATATGTATATTTTATATGTACATTTTTACATGTGAATTGAGTAGTGCTTTTTACGCCAAATGGAACTTGAATTTCCATTTTTATTTGGACAATAAAGTTTATCTTATCTTATCTCTTATATATACATATATGTATATGTATATGTGTATATGTATATGTATATATGTATATGTGTATATGTATATGTATATATGTATATGTATGTGTATGTATATGTATATTTTGTGTATATATATATGTGTGTCTATATATGTGTCTATATATGTGTATATATATATATGTGTGTGTATATATG